TGGCCATGTTGGAAGTCATCAGCTACTCCACGAACTACTCAAACACGAAGAGGTTGATTCGAAGCCGTCGTCTTTACCTGCATCTTGGGAGAACTCTGAGATCACATGACGCGTTGTTGATTTCAGCATTTTGAACCCAAAGGGTAGCCAAGTAATCACTGCTCGGATTTAGAAGAGTCTGGAAGGCAAAGCAGCAGGGCAAAGCCCAAGGCCCATCACTGAATCTGTCAGATCCTGTCAGGTCATGGCCTTGTACTGCCTGAAGTTCGTGGAGCTTGTTGAAGTTCATGAAGCTACACAACACTCAACGACAACATTGTCACACCAACATGACTCCGCGTCAACACGTTTCACCTGAAGCTTCGACTTGCCAATGATACTCACTGCAAAGACATCCTTGCTTGGGCTCCTGATGGTTTCCTGGCAGTGGATGGGATGTCCTTTGATGGTGACATTCTTGATGTGATGTGGAGGAGGCATCTTTTGATTGCAAATGCAATTGTTGCCAAGCTCCACACAAGTCGCGACGCACGTCTCTGTCCCACCTTTCTTGACTTGGATTGGTATTGGAGGTGCTGGGAATGGATCTCGCTTTGCTCCTGTCCATCCTCCCTTGTGAAACTTCAATTTTCCGCACAGCCTGTCATTGTCTGGTTTGCTGGTCGGCTTGTGGTGCACCTGAATGGCATTGCAGCTGAAGAGGCCGTTGCCACAATCACCATCGTTCTGGTAGTTCCAAATGCATCTGTCGACCATCACAGACTGCAATGGCAGTCTTGGATTTCCTTTCACATCTCGTAGTCCTGCCTCTAGGAGGGCTTGTTTCACTGGCTTGCAGGTTTTGTAGAAAAGGGTGTGGAAAAAGCCTTGTCCACACTCTGCACCAACAAATTTACTTCCAGAAGGGCGAAAACCGCAGTTCCCCCATCCAGTTTCAACTGTGAAGTTGACGCTGGCTCCAAAAATCTCTGCCGCCCGAAGCAGCCTTTTGTCTGGTCTCAATGCGAAGAAACCGACGTTGAAAGGCTCGCCAACCCCCCCACTGGCACTGATGAAATAGCCACGAGCAGCGCACTTCAGGACGGGCGTCATGTCACCTTGAAACTCCACATCCTGGTCCTCAGCGACCCAAATCTCTATGCCACAAAGAAATCATGTGTGAAAAGCTGGCAATCTTGGAGCAATGGCTCAACGAAAAAAACATTCTAGATATTTGTAGCATGTGCGCGCGCATCGACATCATTATGATGTCATTATGTCTATATACAGTTATGAGAATTTCTGCGAGTCGCAGATTGGAAAGCGTCATATTTTGGTTTCCTCCTTTAATCCTCAATTTATCCTCATTCTGGAACCTCAAAAAATCCCCACTCCTCATTTACTGTAATCCTCATTCTGGAACCTCACCAAATCCTCATTCCTCAGTTACAGTAATCCTCTTTCTAGAACATCATAACATCCTCCGCACTTTAATCTTGAATGTGGAACCTCACCAAATCCTCATTCCTGATCGAATCCTGATTCTGAGACTTCAGACCGCCATCGTGCGTTCCGCATTAATCCTCATTCTACAACCTCGTGACATTTTCAGTCCTCGTTGGTTCCTCGATGTTCCTCGTTCATAACTTCCTCGCTCCTCCTTTAATCCTCATTTTGAAACCTTCATTCCTCACTTAATTCTCACCGTATCTCACTGTATACTATACGTATGAATAGTAAACGTGTATATAATTGTATATATTTTTATATATTGACAAACTAATATGAACATCATGAGTATAAAATATCAAATAATATCTGTAAATCTATCTCTGCGTGCGCGGGTGCGGGTTGCATAGTGTTGCGTGTATGTGTGTGTGTGTGTAAGTGGAATAACATCGATCTACATAATTATCGGCTTAGTCACTACTCATTATATGTGTGCGTGGGTAGGTGTGTATATGTATATATATATATATACATGATTATATATATATATGTGTGTATGTATATAAGTATGTATGTGTATAAACCCTTACCTACCTTTAGAAAGGTCTCAAACAGCTGAAAATGCATCGTCTGCATGAAGCTCTACCACCAAGCAACGTAAAACACGACAGCATCATAGTCATCCAAAGCCAGCGCATGAAGTCTCATCAAATCTTGGGGTCCACACCATCCATCTGCTTTCCCAGGCCACCAGTAGCTGGGATACCAAGACTTCGGAGGAATGGTCCATGGAACTTCGATGATGCGAAGGTGATACTGCTCAATGAGCCGGCGGTGCTGACAGCCCAAGTTGCGGATGTTCTCACCCGGCATCAGGACGACGATGTCTGCAACAGCACCAACCTCTTCCAATTTCAAGGCCTGGGCCCACATGCTGTCCAGAAATGTGAGCCACGGCCATCCTGGATCCCCCACATGTGCATAAACAAATGCATACCGGCCACCTGTGACCCCAGCGGCACAGTCCTCCACATCAAAGCATGGGCCATTCTTGGTCCCGTCGTTGCAACATTGGTTGCAACCTACTTTGCGTTCAATGCTGGTGTTCTCAATCTTTCTTGCCACTTTGGGCTCCTGCAATGGTTGCCTTCTTAATGAAGGTTGTGAGTCTAGTGAACTCATGGAAGGGGTGGAACCGAGAGAATTGGCAGTTGCGGAACTTGGAGGGCTCTCATCTCCTCCTTCTGGTGGACCCGGTGCATCGACTGTATCAGGTATTCCCGGTGAATCCAATAAACCAGGGTCAGGATCCAGAGGTATGTCCTCCTTCGGATTCGAATCATCGAATAGATCCGGAACGTCTTTCTCAGGTGATCGAATGATGGGCTTCACAATGGGAACGGGATTGGAGATTCCAAGTTGGTCACCCTGATGGGCAGCCTCCTCAAACAACTGCATCATGTCGGGCCCAGAGCGACCTTTCCCCATTGACATTTGGCTCTGGCATATCATGCCAACGCAAAATCCAGCGAAGACCAGTCCAACTAGAAGGAACTTGTTGAATGCAGATGTGTTTTTCTTCTTCGGGGCCATGGCAAATAGAGAGACTTGCAACTGTGTAGGTGAAACTGAAACTTTAACTCAGAAGCCTCCAGCTGCACGTGCAAAGCAATTCAGAATAGCTCAATTCAAAGGGGCTCAATGGCTCAACATGGCAACAGAGAATGAGAGAGAAGCTGCTCTCAAAGCATCTGCTGAGAACTGGGAGTTCCATTTAGTTCCTGTTTCCATATTGGCAAACTGTATTTCCAGTATTTTCCAATGATAGAAATGTGTCCAGCACAGCTCCCAGCGGTCCCAGCGCCTGCATCCAGAAATCGCTGCAGGGCAGTCGCATCGCCGCGGCCCGCAGCAGCCAAGCCATCGAAGCCATCGAGGACATCGCCACTCAGCGCCGGCAAGGCCGGCAAGGCGGGCAAGGCATCAGCCTCGTGGCCCACGAAGGCACCACGCCTGGGTCCCAAGCATCGCTGATTGTGCTATGACTTTTGATGCTTTTGCTATGATTATCTATATAATATATTATGTACAAGATTGTACAAGTATGATTGTAGTCAATGTGGGCAAATCTCTGGTCAGCTCAGTATGCTTTGTTGTCTCAAGGATTCTCATGGCAATTATTGTCACTTGACCCTACATTGTGCCCATGCAAGTTGTGCAACTTTGTCGAAGCGTTAAGTGAAGCCTCTGACCCCCGAGGCCGGCGGCACTGCGCTGAGCAAAGATGCCACGAGCCTCTCTGAGAACACCCGGCATTGATAGCTGATTGTTCAAGCACGGGGTGGCAAGTTGCATGTATGTTGCACCATTTGCGGGCGTCGCTGCTGTGTGCCAATGCATCATCATCATCATCATCATCATCATCATCATCATCATCTCATCATCATCATCATCATCATCATCGTCATCGTCATCGTCATCGTCATCGTCCTCATCATCGTCCTCCTCCTCATCATCATCATCAGCAGCAGCATCACGATGACCATGACCATCACCACCACCACCACCACCATCACCACCACCACAGAATTCTGGCCATGTCTGGCCTTTTCGCAATGCAAAACTCTCATTGGTCATTTTCCACCCCAGCCAACAGACCACACAAAAGCTAAAGAAAAGCCTGCCAGCACGTCCACCTGTACTCTCGAGACCGTCTGCCATGAAAACACACATGGAACCCTGTGATTGGCTACAACAAGTCAGCACTTTGAAGTAGCTCGCAAAAAAAAAAAAAAAACGCTATCACAGCAGCAGAGTTGATTTCGGCCTTTGCTGACCCTTCCATCTTCAAATGCCAATCTGCGCGGTCATGATTTCCAGGTCTATCTGCACCATGAACCTCCAAAGATGCGCAAAGAACATGTTCAGCCTCAACACTTTCGCCCAAATGTGGATTTTGCCTGACCTAGATGCAGTCAAGCGGCTGCATCTAGATGTTCTTGCAACCTCAGAGAAGCTTGGAAACTGCACTATCTGCATTACTGCATTCTCAACGTGAATCCATGGCAACAAAGGGTTGCTGGCAAAGCAGCAAATCCTGATAAATCCTGAGTGTTCAAATGGTGTAATTTTTTTCCAGATCATGCCTCTGTCCGGCAAAGATCCAACAATTCAAACAAGCAAGGCACCCTCGTCCGAGACGAAATCGCCGCATAGATTGTGGGCAAAGCGGGCAGCAGACCCAGCTGCACTCCGACCGTGTCCTGGGTGAAATCACACGGGCACCTATCTACTATATACACTGCTATATAATATTATATATTTCATTGTATTCTATAAACAGCTGCAGCTGTAGCTACCGCACAATGCGCATCATTGCGCACAATGCAAGGCAGTTTGGATGAAAATACAGGAGCGAGGCCAGTAAGGCTCTCAGTGAGGAGAGGCTTGCAATACCTAGCCTGGTCTTGCAAAATCATGCACTTAGAGATGTGAATAAAATTTATTGCGCAGTAAATCGTAAAGTATCAAACATGCTGAAATCAAAAGCTCCTAATTCAATTGATAATATTTCATCATTTCTATCGCCTTCTTAGTCAGTGTTCATAAGTTTTCCAGGACCTAGAAAAATGCTGAAAGGTCCACAGGGCCAAGGCATTGCCAGGCTTCGAGGTCGCCATGCTGATGGCTGGAGGCAAAGTTGCAGCCGGTAAAAAGATTTCCCATCCTTGGCGAAGGACTGCAAGATGTCATGACCAAAAGATACCAAAAGCACAGTTTGGATACGATGCTTGACGAAGTCCATATGGATAATGTAGACCAATTCTTGCGCGCATACGTTTTGAAATCCCTGAGCGTCTTTTGGCAAACAAGTCTGAAGATTGAAGCGCTGATTCTGCAAGGATATGCACACACTGCTCGCAGGAGCCTGTCCGGCTCATGCAACCGCCCTGGTCTACAAAGCTTCGAAGTTTAGTATCTTGATATTCAAGATCACTATAAATCACCTCATTTTTCTCTCGTCCCTTTCCTGACGTTTCCTCGTCAACAGATCACAGGGACACAGCGGTCCTGTGGTCGGAAATCCCAATGCGCTGCTCTCATCAAAGCGCCGCCGATCAAAGACCACTCTCTGCAGCGCATCAGTAGTGCCGATCAAAGAAATGAAAAGAAATGCCAAGCGCTTGCCACGGAGCTGCACCTGCAACAACTGCAACACGTTTCATCTGCTGGGAATGTTAAGCCACTTTTTACCGCGGCTTAATCCCGCACGTGTATGTATGTATATATATATATATACAGGCACATGTTCACGAGAGATATATATATATGTGTGTGTGTGTGATTTGTCTATATCATTCTACCTATATATCTATATTGTGCATGTGTGTCCCTGTGATCACGTGTGCTTCCCCAATGATTCAATGATAATGGCCGAGGATTGGCACCAGTGCACCATGGCAGGCAACTACAAGTAGTACATGGTGGCTAGTAGCAAATCTTGAATTGGTCTGAGTTGCATATTTTGCATATTCAATCTTCTTCGGATCCAGTTAGTAAGTCTGCAAAATCATGGCGGCCTGAGATACGAGCCCGTACAAGTCTACACAGGCCTCACTTGGTTCACTCACTTGGTTCACTCACTGTCTCCGTTCTGTATCTGTTTGTGGAACTCGCTGAGAATATGAAACTAACATCCAACAATGGAACTCACTCTCTATATAGACTCTAGACATCTCTAGACTAGATTGACTAGATCTCTCATATTTCTGAAACGCTGCATTTCTGGCACAAACGCTGGATCTGAATCATGGCAGCGTGTGGCTACAAACCTGGTGCATTGAGCTTCTGGCCAGCTCACTCGTTTCAAGATCTTCAAGTACTTCAGCTTCTTCAGTCAGTTCACGCTCCTCTCCCCTCATGCAAAGTGTGCAAAGGTTTGGAGCTCTCCACAGCTTGCCCCTCCATTGCTCTTATCGATGATCAAGCATCACTGCGACCTACCTTGGCTTTTGCAAGAGGCCAGCGGATGTTCAACTTATACTCTAAGCCAGGAATACTGTACCCCTTTTACGACCTGGTTGCAGTTGCTTCGGCATGCCTCACTTGTGATGTGAAGGCCTGTGTTTTTGATGTTTTGTGCTTTTCACGTCTTTCCATGGCTGAAAGCGTCACAAAGCCACTCAGCTGCAAGAGATGCATCATGTGCATTCATGTGCCACTTGTCTCCGAGAGTGTGCCTTGTCTTTGAAACGAAGGCCAGCAGCAACATGGCTTTGCGAGTTGTCTCATACGCGAAGAAAAGAGACACAATTTGAATATGCATCACCTCCCCTTCAGTGCAATCCGCATCGTGAATGCGAGCTCCGCAACCCCCCTTGAAGGATGCACAACACCATGGTCACCAACCATGCAGCACACTGGGGCCCATGCAATTTGCTTCATGACAGAGTCCATCAAAGAAGTGGCCTTCTTCTCCGCTGCCTCGACAAAACACGATGAAGGCCATGATGGCACTATGTGGCACTACTTAGTTTCTACTTGTTCAGAATGTTCATACATGTTCATACATGTTCATACATGTTCATACATGTTCATACTGTCTTTAGCGATAACATTCAATAATTACATATAATTACAAGATCCATCAAGATCCTCTCATCAAAGCACGGCCAAACATGTCCCTTCCAGTTCAAATGTCGCAGTCCTCCTGCTGCCTTTCCTTGGCAATTCTTTCAGCGTTTTCTTTCCTTAGGGACTCGCAGAAATGATATGTCACTCACAGGTTCCCTACACTGCCAAGCTGGAATGGCTTGAATGAGACACTCAGAACATCCAAGGCTCGCTTTCCGTGCCTTATCCTCTTTGCTTTCGCTTGGCCTTGGAAGCAGTGTCAGTGACCATGCCAAATGCTTCTAAGACAGTGTTGACATGTGTTGAGTCTGCCAATGCAAAAATATCGTAGGAAGAGATGCTGGAACAGATCCGTGTTTTCTCACTCTCACTGTTGAAGTCTAAGGCTGCAACGGGCTGGCTCCAGGCCATTTTGTCCATTGATGCCCAGCGTCCTGAGCAACACTAAGCATGTGCGACAAGTAATTCATTGAATGGCTCGCAACACGGCAACCGCAAGTCAAAGTAATCACGGATTGCGTAAGACTCGAGTCTTCCCTGATCTTCTCCAAGGCCCCCACGGCATTTTGACGAGTCTCCTCACCGCGGGATGCGTATTCCATCCCTATACAGTATTTCATCATGATAGTATATATATATAATAATAATAAAAATAATAATAATAATAATTCACTGCATATTAGCTCTGTTGGCTCTTTCTTCTGCATTCATCTGTACTTTCACAGGATTCACATCAACAGAAGAATACAGAAGGACCATTGGACCATCAGCTCCTTTGGCGGCTCGGATCTCGCTCGACCCCACCTTGCAGTATCGTTGCTCAGTGCAGGACTGATCGGTATGGATCAGCGAAGAAACGTGAAACTTATGGTTTGAAAGTAGTTGATAATTGCAGTCTGCTACAGGCCTGCCAAAAAATCCACCTCGGGTCTCCTCTCCCGAGCTGTCCTTCAGAATTATGGCAAAGTCAACAATGCATCTGCAGAAAGAGAGAGAGAGAGAAGGAGAAAAAAAAAGGCTTTCACCGGTCTTTTTTTTGTTGCTTTGCGTGCGCTTCTCTTTGCTTCTTGCGCTGTGCTTCTCTTTGTTGTTCCGCTGCCCTGCGCTGCTGGGCTTCTTTCTCTCGCTGCCTCGCTTCTTGTTGCTTCCCTCAGCAACAGATGGCGGAACAACGCGGAACACTAGGCTAAGAATTGGAAGGACGCAGGGCATCGCAGGGCACGTGTGAGGACCTATGTGAGGGCAATGCGTCTTGCCATGTCTTGCCCTTGAACAGGTGCAAGTGTCTTTGCCCGAAGGTCGGAATGAAGGGAAACTACAAAGAAGATTTGAGAAATGTTGCGGTTGCAGAAAAAATGTTATATATATAATATATAAGGCAAAAAATGAGCCATCTTTGTGCGCATACTCCGTCTTTCCGGTGGTCACAGAATGCACTCCATAAAACTGCTGTGCACCAAAGTGAGGGTCAGGACTGGGGTGTAGAGTTACGGCAGATTTTGCAAATATATGCAAATGATGACAGCACCCTGAAGGTTGGCTAAAGATGCTAAAGCTTGCCCAGAATACCAACTTCTCTTGGGCAGTGTATGGCCATGTCTCAAGACGTATCAAGTAACGCCATCCAAGTTGCTCTGCTCGTCCTGTTTCTGTCGCTCAACTCGCTCAGCTCGCTCCGCCTCTGCTTCCTTCTGCGCCTTGCGATGCAGTTCCTCCTCCTGCCACATCCAGGCGATAAAATATGCTAAAATACGTTGAACATCGTCGGAGTAAGTTCATGCCATTTGCACACCCTATGAGTATTCAAATTGCGGAAATCATTCTTGAAAACTTTAATGTGGTGTCTGTTATGTTTCTTTTAAGTGGTTTGCTGCCAGGTTTTGCGTCCTACAGCATCCGCGGGTTTTCAACATTTTTCAACATCACGTTATGACCCTGTCAATCAATTAGCAAACATAATTTGATGTAATTATATTTATTCGTCTGCTGATTGTCTACCGCTCCTTCTTTTTCCAAATATCTTCCTCCTGGCGCTTCCTTTGTCTCTCAGCTTCTTCCTGCTGCTTCTGCGCTGTCTCCTGGGCATAATGCACGACGCAAATTCTTAGCATATGATCTTCATGGCTGAGTGCTTCACTTTCGGAGGACGAGAATCGACGAGAATTGTCTTGGGCAACATCAAGGACACGTCATCAAACGTCCTTCTCTTGTTGCTGCCGCTTGTTGTCTTCTTCCTGTCGCTTTCGCTCTTTGTCAACTTTGTCCTGGGGTCTCAGCAGGCTCGAGACCAAAAAAAAAAACACGAAGCACAAGACACCAATTCGAGCCAAAAGCACTCAGTATCTTTTTTGCATGCATGCTGCAGATATCTGCAGATCATCTCTCTGACGCACTATCCTGTGCTTTGCATTTCTGCTCTGTCCTGTTCCCGTTTGTTCTTTATCCAATCTTGCTGCCAGGCATCCTCGCATCAGCAAGATGTCAACAAACCAAACTCATATTCAAAATGGCAAAAGGAGGATTGAAAGGCGTGAAGGGCATTCTCTGGGTGCACCTCTTTCGATCGAAATCCCTTACATGCTTTGCTTGGTTTTTCTGACAACCATGACAACTGTCTGTCCCTCCATGCCCTTGAGCAGCGCGGTCACCAATCCCTCACCTGCTCGGCTCTAGTTTGTTCACGATGGGTCTTGCGCCTTATTCGTTGGTCTTTACATCGCGCATGCATTCGATGGTACCAAAGCTTTTGTGGGTCCTAAAGCACATATGAGAAGTTATCAGAAGTTATGAGGCAAACTGACAAACCCATAAAACAGATTTACTACTGAAATGTTACTTTGGGGTTCGCAAGTTTGCATCTTGAGGATCGGACTGCTCTTCTTTCTCTCGCTGACGGCGCTGCCTCTCTTCTTCTTGCTTTTGATACCAGCAGTTTGGC